GAAGCATTCCTTCTACGCTCGAAAACATGGAGCTGCTCATTCGGGCCAAAAACACAGTGGCAAGCATCTATGATTCCGCAGGGCTGACTGTCTCGATTTCCCTTTCTTCTTTGTCGATTTCTGGATCAGCAATGCTGGGCATAATCTTTAATTCCGTGAGCTCTGCCAGTTCGCTCATTAGATCCAGAACATCAATGATGGGTGGTTTTACCTCCTCCTTAATCAATCCTATCATTGCAACATCTGTAAGCATGGGTCGAGGCAGAGAAGCGGAAAGATCCAGATATTGCATAATTTGTTGATATCTCATTCAAAGAGAAAGGGTAGCCTCGTACAGGGTATATGGGGGTTCCAAAAGATCTGTCATATCTGCAATCTGTAGGATCTGTAGGATCGGTTCTCACTCTCACAGAAACACGAGGAAGCGGCAGGAACTCGTGTTTCTGTGAGAGTGAGAAACGAAGGAGGTGGGGGCGGATTCAAGCTAAACTCGGTACTCCCAATACCCAAACAGAAAAAGTGAGTTGTTTGAGAGATACTCATGTTTCCGTGAGAGTGAGAAACGAAGGAGGTGGGGCGGATCCAAGCTAAGCTCGGTACTCCCAATACCCAAACAGAAAAAGTGAGTTGTTTGAGAGATCATTCGGAAGTCTTCTTTCGCCTCTTGGACGAAGAGTCGAACGAAGCTCGCCCCACTCTTTAGTAGGTATGTGATTCGGAAGCTCCGCGCAATCCCTCTCATTGTGCTCATTTTCTGCAGACGGAAGGCAATCACTGTCACGCCCTTCTGCCAAGCAATCATATGACTAATCTAGCTCTCTTTCCCGGCTATCCTGAATCCTGATCATCCCAATCCGTGCAACCTTTTTCATAGCCGTCATTTGTTTCAGGAGTCACATGAAAATGCAAGGGGATAGTTTGTGGCTTACCTCCAGTGTGCATGAGAATCAACTGACAGAAATCAAAGTGGAGGCGCGCTCGTCCTGCCATTTCCCAAGGTAATTCCAACAAAACAGAATATGACTGCACATCAATTAGTAACGCATTCACCGGCACATGCACCCGCTCAACCTTTATAGCCACATTTTCGATCAATTCTATGGTCTTCATTGTTTCCTCATCGGCCGGGATATGGTTGTCCTTTCCGGAGAGGGGAAGAGGATTAAATTTAATCGTCCTGCCTCCCATACAGTGTTGAGTGAGAGCACAACAGCAAACGACCCTGTATCAATCAAATCATTGAACGACTTTTCCCAGACCTCACAGTCACACTCGGCACTTTTCCACAACACAGGTCAAACATGAATTAAATGCTCTATTTCTCCGCATAGGAGACCGTTGCTACACGAGTGGCTTCTGGCATCTCCTGCTTTTTCGGAGGATCAGCAACGCCTGGAGGACGAGGAGAAGAGGGCAACGATTCCGATGTTTCCTCCTTTTTCTTCAACATCCTCTGGACGCGCTGATACGTGAAATGTTTCTGGTTCTTCTAACACTGCTGCAGAAGCCTGTCGTTTGCATCTTCGAAAATCATCAGGAGATGGCCAACGGGCACAGGAATTCAGGTGTCCAACTGCTTCTTTACTGTTTGGAGTACATTGATCTCCCCTATTCAGAACTGAGGGCCTGGTTCTGATTTGCTCTCTATCCACTCAAGCTCGTCTTTTGCAGGTCAGATAGCTCCAATCATCCCAGCCTACTGAAGGTATTCAGACGGGTCGTACAAAGTGCCAGATGTTGATGTTATCTGATCTGCGAATGCAAGAGGGGTCAGGGAAGGGTGACAGTGTCCCACTTCTCTGGTTCGTTCCAGCAGTGTAGCTACCCGTCCATGATTAGTGACCACAGGTACAGCCCCAAGGGGCAGTTGATTTCATTTTGGAAGGGGGCAATCTCGGGCGAAATGTCCAGGCTGCTTGCAATTATAGTATTCCACTCTGCCTGGAGGAGCAGCGGCCTGAAGGTGAATAGGAGGAGCACGGAGAGCAGCTCGCATAGGTAGGTGAGGTGCAAGAAGCAGGGGATAATTTGGAATAGGATTAGCTTGCGACACTATTGATAGATTCGCCATCGTTCTAGGCAACAACAATCGCTGCAGAGAGTACTATGCCAAGGGAATGTCACTGCCGTCCACGGGATGACAAAGAACTCTACTATGCCAAGGGAATGTCACTGCCGTCCACGGGATGACAAAGAACTCAATGGAGTGTCACTGCCATCCACGGGATCAAAGAACTCAATGGAGTGTCACTGCCGTCCACGGGATGACAAAGAACTCGTTTAAGGGCAATAAACAGAGAATAAAACGAGTCACGAGATGTCAATGAACTCGCTGACGGGCAATAACAAAGAACAACAATCACAAACCCAACACTCACGAACCCTCAACACCTGGTTTCCGGTGGGAAAATAACAACCACCTCCAGTCTTTGTGACGCTTCTCATACATCCCACTCGCATACAAGTGGTCTTTCTTCACTGTATAAAAGGCAGCGCCCTGTCCAATCCGTATGGTCAGTCCACATGGCATAAGCTTGAGAGAGAGAAGCGGGCAGGGGTGAGGATTGGATCTCTTGATTAGTGGCTCGGTCGAGTTTGTTGGTAGCAATAGATCTGATCGTCGAGCACGAATCTTCGGAAGATTCTACATGCATTATGGACAGAAACAGACGGTGGAAGGGACACGTATGAATAGAATACTCCGGGATGGAGACTACCCTATTCAAGATGACGAAGCTAATGGAAGCCCCGCTGACGAGGGAAAGAGAGGGATATGGCGAATTGTTACATACTTGTATTTCATCTCTGGTCTGCGGTAGTTTTGGTTTGCGGACAAGATACCTATATCTGACACCTAATCAGTGAATTCTGAGAGATTTGCCGGCAATCCCCATCAAACTCATTGTCTGGTTAATTGTTTCGAGAGTGCAGACTACTGCGACGTACGAGAGGCTTGGAGGGTTGGGAGTGCACGCATCAAAGGATTGGGTATCCCACTCTTGAGTCCCTGAGATAGAGGTGGAAAGGTCTTCCATGTATATGCCCGAAGTTGAAAGGTCTTCCATGTATATGCCCGAAGTTGTGTTTTTCTTTGTTGGCGAGCTCTCGAAGATGTGTATGCTCCATGTGAGAATTCTAGCGTGCGCAAGGGCAGCAACTATTAACAACGGCGAGGACAGGGCAACTGTCTGCTTGTGGTTAGCAAGACATGTCCTCCACTGTAGCTCATGCCCTAAGCAACCCTGCTGCGATCAACCACCAGCCATCACCTGCTATCTCCTATAGCGGATGCTCTATGCGCATTGCCCTCCTGTTCATTCTCCCATGCTCTGCGTGAGTACAGATATCCCTACTGCCATCGCTAGTCCTTGACGTATGCGTTACGAAAAAGTTCCCTAGTGAAATCAATCCTGATTTTCGGACGTCTACTAACGCACCCATTGTCAGTCGCAGCGTATACGGGTTCGTACCATCACCTCTCGATATGCACCGCTACGAAAAGTCTTCTCAGAAAAACAACCATGGGTTTCTCGGGTATGTTAACGAAACCACTATCACTTGTCCTGTGTTAGAGTCTTCACATCGTAACAGTCCAAATACTCCAAATACGCGTTACCTACTTGGACAGTGCAGTTAGGTTGGTTTTCCCTTACCACCTCCTCCGCTCCCCTCTTCTCGGAAATAGCGAGAGCAATCAAAGACGCACCGTGGACACTAACACCCCGCAGGACGCATGACACTCATCTAGTTCACTTTGTTCTCGGACAGAGACAAGGGCTACCACCTACGTCTCGAAAACTTGTCAAATATCCACGAGAAGAGGACCTAGCTACGAAAGAATAAGCGGGGCATATCACTATTCGAGCTTTAAATCATCCTAGACTTTCCCATCTATCATCAGCTCTCAACCAGACTTTGGAGCGCTACGTGTCTCCACCCACCTCCTTCTGGGGTTTAAGGGTTCTATAGTCTGCTGCTCGTAGCAACGATACTACTGAATTTCCCATTGGATTAGAAAACTTTTTCGTTTCGCATTGCTCACGCTCAAGGGTTGAATAACGAACGCAGTCGCGCACTAATCCCTCACCAGCGACCCGAACAAGTGTATACGAAGCAGGTTCAGAGGTTGACACGCAAACTACCGAACCTCACCGACTTCAGTGGCACACAATCAGACATGCATGGTCAATGCGCAATTACCCATGGAAACCATGCGGTAACGTTCACATCCGATGGCGTAAACAAGCGTGTGTTGTTTGACCAGGCCGACATGTAGCGGGTTATCAAACCCCAATTTCCTGAGGCAAGTGCGCTTCATTGCGTTTTTTCCTTCATCGTCAGACAGTCGTTTAATCAGTTATAAACGCAAGCGCCTCTGGACTTAACTCCCCCCCACAAGTTCATAAACAATCCCTTACGTTGCAGATGAAACCTTTCAATCATGGGATATGCCCCCTTAACCGATCTTCTTCGTCTGAATAATCCATAAGAGCCACATATTCATTTTCAGTTATAGGCGCAAGAGCCTCTGGAGGAAATTCCGACACAATTTCATCAAACATCCCTTACGTTGCAGAGGAAATCTTCCAATGATGGAATGTCCCCTTAAACGATCTTGTTCGTCTGAATAATCCTCCATAAGAGCCACATATTCATTTTGATTTTTGACCTTCTGGGGTCAAGATGCTGAGCTGGGGGTTCCCCCAAATACAGATATACAGAAAACATTAGCACGTGACATAATAGCAAAAGCAGATGTCAACAAATGGTTCAATGTCCCCTAAACCTTACTAATGCACTACAAGGCATCCGACGACAGATTGGCATCATCGACAAGCACAATCCACGTAGACGACAAGCAAATACAACAACACGCAAACGACGATGTTCAAGGCCTGTAGCATTAGATGACAAACATAACATGGGCAAGTCGGAAAAATTCACCGTTCAGGCAAGTGGAAGACAAGTGACCACACAAAAGAGAGGCCAGACGGAAATAACGATAAGGAAAGCATCCATGATAATGCAAAATAAAGTCATTTGAGAACGTTCTTAAGAATGGAAACTGACAGCCAAGAACGTTTGAAAAGTTCCCCGGCAAATCCCGGAATGGGGAACCAGGACGCTTGCTGATGAAAGGTTTACTGTTAAAAAGAATCAGCCTCATGCTATACTGTACAAATTAATTACAAATCTTCCAACCCCTCTCAACACCCATCGGGAGCAGCCCATTTTCCTGTCCATGACGCCATCACCCTACTCTCCGACCTGCCTACGCCATAGGGACCATCGCCCTCTCCACTTACACGCCATCAATGACTGTTTGCCTTGTCATCTCCTCTCACTATCCTTCAAATCGCAAACAGCTCTCGATACCGCCCCCCCCGCCCACCACGGACCCTCCCCGCCTTTGCCCCCAATGCTTCCGATCATACAACTGCCATGCTGCACCGGACACACTCGGGCAACGCATAGCGATGGCAAGTGTTCGTTCAGCTTGAAGGATACCACCTGCCCACTCCGACTACGCAAGAACGAGGACAAAATCCAGAACGCGCCTTCATCAATTGATCTGTCAAAAGGACGAGAACAATCCTCACCGCCTCCATATCATCGTTACAGATGCCGTCACCGTTTTCTCACGCGTGCGCACACGCATGATAGTCCGGCGGCGCCCATCTTTCTACGTACGAGGCAGAGAACACATGCGGGCGACAGTCTGCCCTGCCCTCGGCATTCTCCGCCAACTCGTGCAGATAGCATTTTGCGTTCCTCTGCCACGCCAACGCGTAACGACACGAGATCCCGATCCCTACATAACCTGTCCTCTCAGGCGTGCGACTCAAGCACCGAACGAACCCTCGTCTTTTTATCATCAAGGTTCGCACAGCAACGTTTCCCACCCCACGCCGAGACCCTCCCAGCATAACATCATCTACAACCGTCGACAATCAGGAACACCGCAGCGAATTCTCCGCCAACCCATGTGTCTGTTCATCTGCTTGGGACCTTTACTCTCAAGCGAAATGGTACAACAGAGAGGGTGCCACCAGCCATGCGCGGGACTTTCACCAAACTAACCGCACTTTCCACATACAATTCCCTCTCGTCCACCAGCAGAGCGAGAGAGATCGTCCATTCACCGTGGTAGTTCCTCATCGACGGCCCATTGAGTGACGGGCAACCAGTTCTGGACCTCTATCACCAACGAGCAATCTAGACGCTCAATCGTAAACTCCCAGGAGCTCTCATCACCACAAAACCGGATAACGAAAATGGAAATCAAATTCTATTGCCGTCCAACAGGAGCGCAAAGACAAATGAGAAAAAAAACTCGCTACAACCCCCCGCCACCCCCATGGCTCTACCACCTCGTCCCCTTCACTTTCTCGCTCTCACTGCCCTCCCCGACGGCGCCCTACTTGATGATGCTGCCTTCTTCACTGGTATCTTCTTAGTAGCAGCGACAGCGGAAGTCTTCTTCACCACCGTCGAGGCAGCTTTAGAAGCCCCTGCGGCTTTCTTGCCGGCTACGGTCGCTTTCTTAACAGTCGAACCAAGCTTCTTCGCCGGAGCTAGAGCCGTCCCAGCGGACAATCTCCTCTTCTTGCCATCACCAGTCGCCTTCTTTGCAGCCGCCGCCTTTGGGGCTGCATCCGCCTTGCGCTTCTTCAAACCCGACGACGCCGCTGCCTTCGGCGCCGCCACCTTCTTCGGCTTAGCAGCAGCATCTCCTCCACTCGCCACTGGCGCTCTCTTTGCAGACTTCTTGGGCGTGGACCCCACCGTCTTCTTCAACACCGTCTTTGCCTTCTTCAGCCCACCCTTAGCCGCGACCGCCTTCTTCACTGCCGGCTTCTTCGCCTCCTTCTCCGGCTTCTTCAGCTCGTCGCTAAGCTTGAAGCTGTTCTTTATCTTAAGGAACTTTCCCGCCTTCACCAAGTTCTTCAACTGAATTGAGAGAGTTTTCCGGAAAGTGGGTGGCAGCTGGTACTTCGCCTCAACGTACTTCGCGATTGCGTATTGACTAGATCCACTTCTCTCCTTCAGAGCGACAAGCGCCTCCTTAACCATCTGCAAAGCGCACAGACGCACAGACAAAGATCAGTAATGGGAGAATAAGAAACTGACCACCAAACCCAATAATGTTAACAGTCTCATCCATAGCCGATATCATCTCAGACTCAGCACACACATCGTCTCACCCACATTTGACGGACGAGCAAACCTGCACCGTGTCGAGAGGGTAAGAAACGTTCTAAAGAAGCCACAACCTTTCCGAAAAACACGACAAAGGGTTTGCGMCCCMCCCCGCCGAGATCCCACCAACGGACGCACTTCTATCAGCCTCTGAATCCGACAACGTCTTCCTCCCTCCTCTCCTGTACCAGAAACGGAAGCAACGTCAAGAGAGAGACAGAGACACTGCGCCAACCACCCACGTCTGAAAGTTACGCCTTCCTCCCTCCACCTCCTTCTGCTGAGGCACAGAACATGCAAAGCTGGAAGGGGAGAAGAAACAGACTCAGATTCTCAGGAAAGGAGCAAACATTTAGCAGGGAAACTTACTTGGAGGTACGGAGGATGCGTTGGAGGGGCCCTGGCTCCTTTGCTAGGAGCTCGTGGCTTCTTCTCCTTCACAGGTTTCGTATCCGCTGCTTTCGGAACAGTTGCAATGTCTGTAGATGGCGCAGCGGCCGGAGCAGCTTCAGTAGCCATGGCGGGAAACTGAAGGAGATACAAGAGTGCAGATGCTCTGCTGATACAGGTATAGATCACTGCCAAGTTGCTGCACTCCCAACGACAGTGGTGATCCGAAATCGGCTTTGACTAGAAGAACGGCGCTCTCAACGACGCTGCCGCAACGAAGCTCCAGAAGAATGGACAAAATTGGACTACAGGTCTCATCAAGCCAGGCTCAGTCTCACGCACAAGGATCAAGACACTATCCACCGCTACCCTAGCGAGCGCCAACCTCTGCCTTTCTTCGCCTCTCCGTGCTGACTGACAGGACTGACAGAGGAGAGTTGCAATGCAATTGCGCGATTGCGGCTGGACCTGCGATGATCACTGACATCTGCGCTGCACGACGGACAAGAAGAATTTATTCAGAGCCGCAGGGACAACTCGGAAACGTTCCCTGGGCCAGAGCTGACTCCTGGCGGCACACGGCAGTGTTACCGGTCGTTCCCCGCACCGACGCCCGACCTGCACCCGCGCTGCTGCTCGTCCTCGATCCTCCTGGGCGAGTCCTCAGTCGGAAGCCGAGCTGGGGTAAGCGCGAACGTCGAGGTGCTGCTTTGAATGCATTTTACGACAACTTGCGTCAAATTCACTCTGGACCGCAAAGTCCTCGCGTGACCTCTCCAAGTCCGTTCCCTGCCGAGGGGGGCAGAAACCGGTAGTGGAAATGTTTCTCGGAATTCGCGTCCACGCGCGGATTCGGAAAACGGACGTGAAAATGCAAAATTTTGGTAACGCAACTCGTTTTCGCGCCGGTCCCCCGCCCTCGGTTTCCTGCAGTCTCATTGGCCAGCAGCCTCTCCAGCGGATAGCCGCTGCCCCCTCCCTCCACCTACCTCGCCTTCCCGCGCTCCACTCCATAAGAGCCATACACCGCCAAAATTAGCCACGTGGTGGTGCGCCCACTCCCCCACCCTCCTGACCTTGGTCGCGTTCCTTCACTTGCCTACGATGCCCCAAATCCACCCGCACAAGCAACCACCCATCCATGCTCGACGCCCACTACTGCATCCTTCACAAGCGCTACAGCACATCGCCATYGCTTTGACTCGCCTTCTCTCTCCCTACCTCGGCGTTGCTTCTGCTCTCTCACACCCACTCTTAATTAAAACCCCTACTCTTCCACAAGAAACTGATCCGATCGATGGATCTCGTTGTAAAGTAAGCTGCATTTCTCGAATTGCGGTAGCCAACCTCTAACAGCGACCGCTGCCGCCATAGCCAGCAGCTCGTGTGCTACTTCGCCTTTCAGCTATGGTTGCTCTCCTTCGATCAAACCTTTGCACTCGCTCGGGYTGCTGCCTCTCCTAGGATTCGCTTTCCCTTCTAATTMTTTCYACTTCGATGAGCAATGCCGACTCTTTTGGGTTCAACAGCCACACGAGCCGCTCGACACCCATATCCCCCTCTCTCCGCAGCCGTGTGTTTGTCGTGCAGGGAAACCAGTCTCAACGCCTGCTCAGCAGTAATCAGATCCCGCCCATGGCTGCGAAGATCGTTCTAATTTACCTCCGGACTCTGCAGGAATGCCCAAGTGCCATTTTTCACAGAGATTGCAGCTCCACTGCCGCGAGAAATCCATGGCACCATGGAAACAGCCATATCCGACGAGCACTGCTGGTCTATCGTTTTCCCCTGGCTTCCTACCATGTCCCGCCGATTCCTTCCATTCTAAGCATGGGCACCTCTGCCCAGAGCGTGCACTCTCAAGCTAACATGTCAATGATCGCCACAGGACAGCACATATCAATTCTCTGTCTCTTCGATCAGCCAAGTAAGCCGCCCAACAAACACATGCATTCAGTTGCACGCGCGTCGGCTCTGCACCCATCGTCCTTGATGCTTGTTGTATCAAATGTTTCTCTGCTTGCCGCCAGCTCGATGACGTCGTAGGCAGATTGGACAGGCCAGCAGCCGAGGGGCTGTGCTCCGGAGTGAATGCGGACGGAGCAGACGACTCCCACGTCCATAATTGATGAAGGTACAAGCACAAGCTTGATGCGACTGAGCCGCCATCTCCACCTGTGCTAGGAAGTGGGTGTCTCAAGATTCATTGTGACACGAGCGATGTGTCAATGACCTCAACGCACGAAATGGGGTTGAAATACTCTCCAACCTTGATACTACTAAGGCAAAACAACCTGTTGATGAAACAGACAGTGTGTTTCAAGCGATAGAAACAAGCACACCTGGGATGAGCTGGCCAACGCTCAGACTACTGTACATTCACGGCATCCCGAGTCAAAAAGTTGGAAAAGCTAGGGAGGAGGGAACTGGCCATCAAAGGATACTTCGTGGAGGAGGGACCAGAGGATGACAACCAAGACGACAGAGCAATGAGGCCCACGAACTGGCACACAAACCAGCAAACAATGAAACAAACAAACGAACAGAAGCAGAGAGCGGAAAGCAGGCAGATGGCTCGCATCCGTTTCCCATCTGATCCCTTCAGAAGAACTCGCAAGTTATACATGTACCTTGAAACGGTAGGGGTGAACTGCGGTAGAACCCACGTGGACGATGTGAAGACAAAGGGCACACACACACACACACACACACACACACACACACACACACACACNTTCTTTGCAGCCGCCGCCTTTGGGGCTGCATCCGCCTTGCGCTTCTTCAAACCCGACGACGCCGCTGCCTTCGGCGCCGCCACCTTCTTCGGCTTCGCAGCAGCATCTCCTCCACTCGCCACTGGCGCTCTCTTTGCGGACTTCTTGGGCGTGGACCCCACCGTCTTCTTCAACACCGTCTTTGCCTTCTTCAGCCCACCCTTAGCAGCTGCCGCCTTTTTCACCTCCGGCTTCTTCGGCTCCTTCTCCGGCTTCTTTAGCTCGTCGCTAAGCTTAAAGCTGTTCTTTATCTTAAGGAACTTTCCCGCTTTCACCAAGTTCTTCAACTGAATTGAGAGAGTTTTCCGGAAAGTGGGTGGCAGCTGGTACTTCGCCTCAACGTACTTCGCGATTGCGTACTGACTAGATCCACTTCTCTCCTTCAGAGCGACAAGCGCCTCCTTAACCATCTGCAAAGCGGACAGACACACAAAACCCAATAATGGTAAGAGTCTCATCCATAGGCGATGTCATCTCAGACTTAGCACACAAATCGTCTCACTAACATTTGACGGACGAGCAACCCTGCACCATGTCGAGAGGGCAAGAAACGTTCTAAAGAAGCCACAACCTTTCCGAAAAACACGACAAAGGGATTGCGACCCGCCCCGTCCAGATCCCACCAACGGACGCACTTCTATCGCCCTCTGAATCCGACAACGTCTTCCTCCCTCCTCTCCTGTACCAGAAACGGAAGCAACGTCAAGAGAAAGACAGAGACACTGCGCCAACCACCCGCATCTGAAAATTACGGCTTCCTCCCTCCGCCTCCTGCTGAGGGACATAACATGCAAAGCTGGGAGGGGAGAAGAAACAGACTCAGAATCTCAGGAAAGGAGCAAACATCAAGCAGGGAAACTTACTTGGAGGTACGGAGGGTGCGTTGGAGGGGCCCTGGCGCCTTTGCTCGGAGCTCGTGGCTTCTTCTCCTTCACAGGTTTCGTATCCGCTGCTTTCGCAACGGTTGTAATGTCTGCAGATGGCGCAGCGGCGGGAGCAGCTTCAGTAGCCATGGCGGGCAACCCAAGGAGATAGAAGAGTGCAGATGCTCTGCTGATACAGGTAGAGAGCACCGGCAAGTTGCTGCTCTCCAAACGATGGTACTGATCCGAAACCGGCTTTGACTAGAAGCACGGCGCTCTCAACGACGCTGCCAACCTCTGCCTCTCTCGCCCTCTTCCACTTCGCATCTCCGTGCTGACTGACGAAGCATAGTTGCAATGCAATCGCGCAATTGCGGCTACACCTGCGATGATCACTGACGACTGTTCTACACTACGGACAAGAAGAATTTATTCAGAGCCGCAGGAACAACTCGGAGACGTTCCCCGGGCCAGAGCTGACTCCTGGAGGCACACCGGCAGTGTTACCGGTCGTTCCCCGCACCGACGCCCGACCTGCCCCCGCGCTGCTGCTCGTCCGCGATCCTGCTGGGCGAGTCCTCAGTCGGAAGCTGAGCTGGGGTAACCGCGAACGTCGAGGTGCTGCTTTGAATGCATTTTACGACAACTTGCGTCAAATTCACTCTGGACCGAAGTCCTCGCGTGACCTTTCCAAGTCCGTTCCCGTTCCCCCCCGAGGGGGGCAGAAACCGGTAGTGGAAATGTTTCTCGGAATTCGCGTCCACGCGCGGATTCGGAAAACGGACGTGAAAATGCAAAATTTTGGGAACGTAACTTGTTTTCGCGCCGGTCCCCCGCCCTCGGTTTCCTGCAGTCTCATTGGCCAGCAGCCTCTCCAGCGGATAGCCGCTGCCCCCTCCCTCCACCTACCT